TATCAACAGGCTCTGTGGCATCTTTGGCAACTGCTGCAGAAGCCCTCCCGGTTCTGGGAGAGAAGACCACGGAAAGGAGCAGCAGGAGGGGGCACAGAAAAGCCCCCCAAATGGAAAAAAACCACAAAAGCCAGATAGGAAGGTTCCGGGGTGGTGCGAACCCACTCCAGGCTCCAGTTTACTTTACGGGAAGATCGGCAGCATCCACGGGATGCACAGGCTTTGGTTATCTGATTTGCTTTTGGAAGAGTCCAGGGGCTTAGTCAGCATCCTCTGACAAGTCAGGTTGCCTGAGGAGAATCCATGTGAGTCACACCCAGCTTCAAGCCACCCCGCCTCCCTGGCTCCTGCCTCATCCCCAGGGGCTGCCTGGGCCTTCCTCACTCAGATCACCAGTGGCCGACTCTCCATACACAGGGCCAAATTGTGAGAGGTTTAGATATGAAAACCTCAGTCCTCACACACACACACCCATGTGACCCTGCTCTGAACTCCGCGATCAAGCATCAGCCTTCAGGCCCTGTCACAGGCTCAGCAGTAAGAGGACCCTCAGTAAACAAAGAAACCGGTACCCAGAGGCTAAGCCTCAGCCACTTCAAACAGGTCTGTGGGACAGATGGGCCAAAGGTGGCCGGGCACCCTGGTAGGCCTTGGTGGGGAGGAAGAAAGCCACCTCAAGCCTGGATAAACGCTGTGTCCAAATATTTACCTGGTGGTTGGCGTCAGGGAAAAGAACCCACAGGAAACTTCATTGCCTCATCAGCACTCTGAGGTACCAAGACCACAGGCTCAGTGTAGCCCTGGCACAGGCTCTATCCGGCCGAACTCCCAAACCAGGAGATGGAAGCAAGAGTGAGCAGTCAGTCTGCTGCACAGTCCGCCTCATCTGAAACTGCTTCAGAAGAGGCAGGTATTAGCCCATGGTGTCTCTCTTAATCCATCACCCTTGGGAGTTGTGGGCCTGGCTTTTCTCTGAGCAGATGCTGGGTATCTTAGTTAGGGTCACTATTGCTCTGATGAAACACCATGACAAAAAGCAAGTTGGGGAGGAAAGGGTTTATTTGGCTTACGCTTCCACATCGCTGTTCATCATCAAAGGAACTCAGGATGGGAACTCAAACAGGGCAGGAACCTGGAGGCAAGGAGCTGATGCCGAGGCCATGGAGGAGTGCTGCTTACTGGCTCGCTTCCCCTGGCTTGCTCAGCCTGCTTTCATACAGAACCCAGGACCACCAGCCCAGGGATGGCACCACCCACAATGGACTGGGCCCTCCCCCATCAGTCACTAATTAAAAAAAAAAAAAAAAAAAAAAAACAAACGCCTTACATCTGGATCTCATGGAGGCATTTTCTCAGTTAAGATTCCCTCCTTCCAGATAACGCCAGCTTGTGTGCTGAGTTAACAGAAGACCAGCCAGCACAGCTGTCCAACACCCACGGCCTGACCTGAAGGCCGAATGAAATGTGTTCCTCATGCGGAGGCAAGTGTGAAAACAAATGAAGAGTCAGTCAGTAAAGGACTCGCTGTGCCAGCACAAGGATCCGAGTTCAATCCTCGGAACCTACAAAAAAGCCGGACTGCGAGGTGCACACCTGGGATCCCAGCACTGGGGAGACAGAGGTCAGAGATCCGTGGAGCTTGTTCTAACCAAATCAATAAGCTCAGATTCGGCAAGAAGAAAGCAGTTGAGAAAACACCTGACATCAACCTCTAGCCTCAACACACACACACATACAGAGAGAAAGAGACAGAAACAGAGAGACAGAAATCAAAATCAGGGGGCTGGAGAGATGGCTCAAAGGTTAAGAGCACCGACTGCTCTTCCAGAGGTCCTGAGTTCAATTCCCAGCAACCACATGGTGGCTCACAACCATCTGTAATGAGATCTAGCGCCCTCCTCTGTATAAATAATAAACAAATCATTCTTTTAAAAAAAAAAAAATCAAAATCAAAGGAAGCTGGGCACAGGGTCACATGCCTGAATCTGAGGTATTTGGGAAGCTGAAACAGGAAGATCACTTGAACCCAGTAGTTCGAGGCTATTCTGAGCAACATACTAAGCCCACACACCCAAAAAACAGTGGAAAATTAAACTGTAAGTAGCATCCAATTCCTATTTAAATGAGGGAGGACAGCAAATGCAGAATGTATGGAGTCTTGAGTCTCGTCCCTCCGTGGTGGGGGATGTTGAGGGGACTGGGATGCGGGGAACTACTTTATGCAGTGAGTCAGACCAGGGGTGTCCCTGGGGTCTAAAGCAGGATGTGATCAAATACCTGAAGGACAAGGGAAAGCCAGAAAGAGAGAATGCTCTAACCCAGGGGATCTGTGAGGAGATGGCGAGGGGAGCAGAAGGGTGAGGAAGGGGCTCCAGATCAAGTCAGGTGATCCTAAGAAGGAGTTCGGGACACTTTGAAAGAAAGGAACCTACAGAGGGTTTGCATGGGATGGGCGGGACAGCGGCCAGAGGAAGCAGCACAGCTGGAAAAACAGCTGTGTGGCAAAAGGCACCTTCCTTCTACCTTATGAACACTCCCTGGTATTTCTGCCCCGGCTCCTGCTCCAGAATGAAGATACCCCATCAGTTCACTTTCTATGTTTCCCTCCCATCTCTCATGGCTCTATCTTCCTCTTAAACTGCTCAGAAAAAAGCATGAAAAAAAAAAAAAGAATCCTGCCTTTGGATAAAAGTTAAAAATATTCTGTACACATGGCCAGTGGCTCGTGTTAAACACATTTGGAAGTACTTTGTAGCCCAAGCTGAACTAGTTTGCCCTCAAAGCTGCTTTCCATTAAAATGTTTACATGTGTGATCCCCACCCGCCCCCCAACCTCCAGACCAACACTGACCCCATTGAGGATCCTTAGTTTCAGCTCTGGGGCAGGAGCATCCCATGAGGCTGAGGGTAGACCCACAGGGCTCACGCTCTCTCCTCCAAGGGTGTAGATCAGTAGTCTGGCCCACAAAGCTTCCCCATGTGAACCTTTTCCACTAAGTCCTTTAGGGTCTCAAAATGCAGCCAGCAGAGTGAATGCACATGTGTCGGCTCAGCAGAGAGAAACAAAAGAGTCCTTTGGTCACAAGCCCAGAAACCTCTCTGGCACCTGCAAGCCAAGCAGCTTTAAGCCCTTAGAGATGTGAGGCAGGCTCTGAGCGGGAGGAAGTGAAGTTGCTCAGGCAGGGCCTGCGCCGCCGGCCTTACACACTGTGTGCCCTTTCTGTGGGCAGCACGCAACCACAATTTGCAGTTTTAGGTGCTCACCCTACTTGGGCCATGTCGAGGCACTGTGGCTCACAGCCCCTCCCAGGCTCTCCAAGGGTGGAGGAGCAGATCCAGCCAAGGAAAGGATGGCTTGCGCTCTCTAAAAGGGAGATGCACATCAAGAGGACAATGACATCAGGTCTCAACTGCACCTTCCATTTCATGACACACATGTTCAAAAAGGACAATTTCAGGGTGAGTCACAGAACCCTTCAAGCGAACTCATGATGCTGATGAGACACTGAGCCCAGATGACCAGCCCTTGAATTAGTCACTAGACTTGTGCATGTGGGGCATGGTCCAACACCAGCTTCGCTGGGCTGTTCTTAAATGGCTCTGGAGAAGTCCAATCAGATTCTCCCAGGACAAAGCACCCTTGAGGGGTGATTTTCCTGCCTGAAGTCCCAGCTGACCTCGAACTTGATGCCCTTAAGCTCCTGAGTTTGCCTTCACACACACACACACACACACACACACACACACACACACACACACACACACACATCGTTCCTCAAATGTGGGGACTGTAGGGATGCACCACCACACCCACAATCCTACACTGCCTCCTCTGACCTTCCACAACCTGTTTCTTTGTTGTTGCCTAAGAGGACACAATACCAAGCAAGCTCCCCTCCCATCTACTGCCCACCACACGTTGATCACACCACACACTGAGGGGTAAATTCGGCAGGAACTCAATTCACCTGGGTGGCCAGTGCTTTCCAAATCAAGCTTTGTTACAAGCCAGGCCAGACTCTCCCCACAGATAACCTTCATCAGAACAGAGACAAACAGGAAAAAGGAGAGTTGGGGGGGGGGGGGGCTAGTCGGCAGAAATCAGGCTTTGATGTGGGCATCTGCAATGTAATAGCCTTTCATTTTCAATTCCACTTTCAGGAGCTACGTCAGTTCAATTTTACATTTCCAAACATCCTTGTGTGGTGGGGATGTGCAGCACAGGTCAGACATCAGGCTTCTGGCTAAAGAGCGAGACTCCTAGGGACTGCCAGAAACCCTTCACGCAGCTCCTCCGTTGAGAGCTTCCACATTTTGCCTGGAGATGCCAGAGGTGACACGAGGCTCCTGTCTCCATATTGGCTCAAAATCAGAAAAGAATATCCCTGGGCTGGAAGCAGTCACATGGTATGCACCCACGCATTCCAAACATGAAATTACTTGAGGAGACAGCTCACACACCATGCAGGCCAGAGCCCTGTCTGCAGATGGCCAGGAGGCCCCTAATGCTGGCTGTCTTCCATTAACTCAGTGGGTCTGAAGGTCCTACATGTGGCCACTGGCTGGGCTATTCTGGCCAACCTCCTTCCGGTGCTACCGCCACATTGTAGACACCTTGCTAGCAGCATTCCTAAATGAGGATATGCCAACCTATTTAAGGTCGTGCTATTGTATAAGCTATTGTATTGTGTAAGGCCTGGCTATGTATAAAGGCCAGGCTCTGTCCCTGTGGAGTTGGGTACCTGGAATCTGCAGCCTGGCTCTGGGGAGGCTAGGTGCGATCAGGAGCAGGCACATTCTCTGAGCATTCCATCTTCCTTTATAAAGTGGGAATAACACAGCTACCCTGTATATTAGAGAATGGTTAGATGTGGAGGCAGAGCCTGGCCCAACTATCTTGGAACCAATAAACACATTTAGAAAGATGAACTCTTGATAGAAATTCCACAGTAACCTAGCAGAAATAACACACAACTGTGACCTCACTAAAGCCAGTCACCCACATGGGCACAGAGCCTGTGTCTCCTACCGCCCCTTCAGTCCCGGCCTCACTCCTCAACCTCTGAGAAGGTAAGGGAACGGGCCAGGTGTGGGGGAGAATGCCCGATGCTATTTTTAAAAGGATGAAAGGACCCAGCGCCCTACTGCCCCAACAGTGCACTGAGCTGTCTCTAGCCAACAGCCAGAGCACACAGTAGGACTTCACCCCTAACTGACTTCATAGGTAACAGTCAGATGAGGAGCAAGCAAGAGCTTCACAAGAAGACGCTACGCTTCATTAACTACTGGGCGGGCGAGTGTCTTTTACTGTGCCAACCACAAAATTCCCACTGACCCTCCTACCTTCCATCTAAAGGAATTTCTGAGGACAGGAAGAAAGTAGAAACTGCCGTCTCACCGCTGTGTAAACAGAGATCACATCACTATGTGATCTACACGAGGTGGGGTGGGAAGTTCTGCTGGTGATCCAGTAAGAACTGGATTTAGTGTCAGGTGTGAAGACTTTGCTAAACAAGGCCGGAAGATGTGGCCCAGGTGGTAGAGTGCTTGCCTAGCTCCCACAATGCTCTGGTTTGATTCGCAATACTGTATAAACCTGGCTTGGTCCTGCATTCTCACATACAGAAGGTAGAGATGGGGGAATCAAAGGTTCAAAGCCACCTACAAGTTATAAAAGGTGTTTGAAGGCAACTTGTGCTACATGAGACTTTGCTGAGCAAAAATAACTGCAAACAGAATATCAAATTTAAAAAAATGTTCTTTTCCTTTAATTTACAAAAAAATGCAAGCATGGTGATGCACACCTTTAGTCCCAGCTCTTGGGAGGCTGAGACAGGTGAATCTCTGTGAATTTGAGGCCAGCCTGGTCTACAGAGTGAGTCTAGGACAGCCAAGGCTACACAGAGAAACCCTGTCTCAAAAATCTCTCTCTCTCTCTCTCTCTCTCTCTCTCTCTCTCTCTCTCTCTCTCTCTCTCTCTC